AATGATTCAGGGCCGCTGCATCAGCAACAGATCTGGAGTTTGTTCCTGGATGGTGACGGCACAGGCACACAGCGAAATCGAGCCCGGGCGCACAGGGAAGCCAAAGCTTACAAAGTCGTTGCTGCCGCGGGATAGCAACGTTGGCTTTTCAGGCAATGGGAAACATCAACATACAACAACCTAGACATTGGAATCCATACTTGTCAAAGCTCCATTCAGGAGGAGCCCTAACAAATACTAGAAGCCCCCATGTAACAGACTTTGCCACTGTCATGTCGCTAGCCGGAGGCAGGAGCACCAACGGCCGCTCGCAAGATTAGCGCTTGTCCCTGGCTTGGGTTTAGGACTTCGGAAGGGCTATGGAGATTCCTGGTTGAGGGCTCTCTACTTTGTCATGCGCCGCAGTGAAGGGCTTGAGCGTTTTCAGAGATTTCGATCCTCAACCCCCAACCCCTTAACCCTACCTAGAGCCCCCAAAACGAGGTAGAACAATGGCCCAAAACCTGTAAAAGGCTATTATTCTACATACTTTTGGGGTCCAGGTACCCTCAAAGCCCCTTTACGTTTCAGGGCTTCTGTGTTTGTGCACAAGCCCTTTGCCTTGACAGCCTCACCGACCTGACGGCTAAAGCAGGTCCCTAAATTAAATGAGCCTGTAACCTAAACCCAAAGCCCTGAACCCTAAATTTGAAGGGTCTCAGGGTTGTTTGAGGTCGCAGGTTTTACCATGATTCCGCAGTGTCTTTCTGAGGGGGGCGAGACATGTCGCAAGCTGAGGCCCAAAAGGTGTAGGGTTTAGGGTTCAGGGTTTAGGGTTTGGTGTCAGGCTGATTGCCATGTAGGGCCTAGTGTGGAAATGTTGTGGTTGCAAATGGACAGCAAAATATAGTATTACTAAGTATCCAGGCCCCTTTTGCTGAGGAGTGCAGCAGACTAGCAGCAGAAAGAGATTTCCAGAGACCAGCGGCTATGGAATTGCTCCACAAACCTTCACTACGACAATATTTAAGACCCTTGGCGTAAAATGTAGAACCCTAGAATTCCTCGAAGTAGCCCTTGCAGAACCCGTATCAAAAAGACCGAGTAAAGGCCCGGACCCTGCCACATCTTCGGGCGAAGCCCCCAAGACAAATTTTCCGCGCATAGGTCCACTTCCCAGTTTCGAGGCCAGCGCGTGCATGGCTCAGCTATGGAGGGCTTATATAACGTGCGAAACACCAGGAGTGCTAAGAGAGTCCTGTGGGAGTTTAGGCTGAGGGTTCTCGCTAGACTCTCTGTTTTGGTATCTGCCTTCAGGCTCCTAAGCGTGGCCGAAACTCAGGTTGCAGGGGTTTGGGGTGTCGGGGTCAGTTGTTTGGGAGCATGGGGGTTTAGGCTGGGGTTTTAAGGAGGGTCAGCTCAGGGTCGCGGCTTTCTTGATGGTCCTTTGCGACCTTGGCAAGACATGGCATTCGCCACGAACGGATGCGTCGGTGCCGCTGCGACATGGCATGTGAAGTACTTGCGAAGGAGACACAGAGTGTTCGTATCCGTGGGACGGCCGGCCCAGCAAACGCAGACCAAATAAACGCGGTTTAGCGCCCAGCAATGCCGCAACGCAGTTTCATTCGGCCTCTTTCTGTGAGGCCCGATCGTGAAGGTTTAGATTGGAGCCGTACTTGAGTGCCAGGAGGATCTACGCTGAAGTTTGACAAGTCATGTTCTGCAGGTTGTAAATGCTAAGTGAGAATTGCAGGGCCAATAGCGCCAAAAGGATCTTGCACTGAAGGCTTCGGGCGGGTCGAGTGCATGGGGCTTGAGGGTTTAGGGCTCACATGAGTTCTTAGGCTTCTTATTTGGCGTTTGTATCAGTTCTTTGGCTTCTTATCATTTGGGGTTTATACTAGTTCTTAGGCTTCGTATCATCTTGGGTTTATACTAGTTCTTAGGCTTCGTAGGGTTTAGAGTTTATGGTCTACGTCGAGGGAACGACGCTACGCCTCAGATCAGGTCGAATGCCACGGAGTCCATGATGCGGAGAACGTGGCACTAGCCGCCAGGCAATGGAGCATCTTGCTTCTCGAATCATGTGAGACCTGAAGAACACCAAAGCAGTAAAACCCAGACCCTAAGGCCTTGAGACGTCGATGCCGTTTGATTGTCAACTGCAGAGGCCAGTGCAAGAGCGAAGCTCGGGGCCTTTGCTTGGATTTGCCTCAGGGTATGGGGCTTAGGATTTGTGGCATCCAAAACTGGATGGTGACAACGAGCATTGCTGGGTTCTCGTTGCAAAGTTCGCATGCGATTGTATGACGATGAGATGGATTGTTCGTGGGTTTAAACGAGCTCGAATTACTATAGCCTACAGTTCGGTTCGGGTTCTGTACGGGATGTGTTGTTCAGAGCTTCATCTAAGTCGCCAGAATGCGGCAAGCATATTATTCACTACATAGCCGGAGTCGGTCAGGTAGCTTCAGTAAAGTAGGTTTTCCTTGCTAGGCCTTCGTTCCCGAACGAGAACCCAGATTGGCTGGCAAGAAGACAGATCGCAAGACACAAAAAACACAACTGACCCCGGTGCGGTAAGTTGCAGTCAGCTCACTCTGATCAAGAGGGGCACTCCGCGCCACAACACATTCCGTGGATCCCCGACAGAGCTTGGGATGGGGGACCATGTTGAAAGGACTGGCAGCTGTGATGCAGCTATTACGTCATGAGGCCACCATTAGATGTGCAGCCTGTGGTCATGAGGCTGTTATCTGTTCGGCGCCCATTCAGCGCATGACATGATGAAAGATCACAAGGCAGCCATTCCCATACCACAGCACTACGTTGCTTAGTCGATGTGATAACAGAAGTTGCTGGGGCAGACCGATGTACTGTTGAGAAGTTGGTGCGCATGTTTTGCAGATCTGAGTGCGAGCATTGCAACCCAACGGACCCAACATATTACGCTGCGTTTTGCAGTATCTCACACTGGGTTCATTAGCTCATAAGATGTCGTAGATTTGCCTTACGGTATGTTATATGCAAATCTGACATATCATGTAATAATAAGTTACATTCTATGATATGCCAAAAGCTGGACTGGTCGGAGTCGACTTGAAGGCTGCAGGTGTGCAGTTCCATGGGCCCGCCGATGCAAAGCCGACGACTCCGAGGCCAAGAGATAAGGGCGACGTCTCTTTGGGGTTGGGGGTTCAGGGTTTGGGGATTAGGGGCGTCGACGAGTGACACGATTATCGTTTGACCGGTTGGTCATGGAGGCTGCTAGTAGCAATGTTAGATTTATGACGGCCGCAAGCATGCCAAAGGCACACCATGAGCTACAATATGCACCGCTCTGATACATAAACCCTGCCCCAAAGCGTGTTTTTGGGAAAACTGCTGTTCTGCCTGCGGTGACCCCTTGAGCGTTGGGCTATTGATACTGATAGGATTCACGCGGACACGTGCACGTTCGACGATCCTGTATGGTATGTATGTACATTCCTTGTTCCTGTGTCACAAGTACATAGGTTCGTCGTACATTTCAATACGTTGTGTTTGCGTGACAGGGCTGGAGGTGAGCGTTCTTGTTTGCTCATTCTCTCTACTGATAAGATCCACGGCTTCTAGGGTCGTAGCGTGTAGCATTTCCGACAGCCGGTGTGGGTTGCACTTTGAACCCAGGGCTGGCTAGAGCTTCAAGTCAAAATCATTCATGCACAGAGCCAGGGCTTGCCAGCAGCTGTCAGGGTATCGTACCGAATGATCCCTTTTGGGTTTAGGGTACCCTAAACCCAAAATGCCCACGAAGGCACTGAGACCAAAGGCTCGACTATTCTACGGGTTTGAATAATTCGCCGCAGCATCCCCTTGTAGTCCCTACGTGCCCCGATATGAATTCGACCCCAAACCATGTTCTGATTCACAGCATGAAGACACTGTTGCGCAATGCCTCCCACCCCGGAGAAACCACCGTTGTGTTTGATGATTCTGATCCTCTACCTAGACCTTGTAAACCTTCAAGCCTCAAGCACCCTTAACCCTAAATCTCCAAGCGTGGCGACGGAGGGTCTGCAAGCCCCCAGGGTTTTGCTTTTTTTTGGTTAAGTGGCATTAAAAAGGGTTTAGGGCCTAGGCGCCATTAGCACCCCAAGCCATGAAGCCCACAATGATCCTGGACACCCGACCTGGAGCATCAAAGCCTCGAAGTCTTCAAACCGGGGTTTTTTGGTTCACAGACCTGCAATTGAACGAAAGGCTGCAGCGTTGAGCGAAGAACTCGGGCGGTGATGCCCAGTTGGGTTACTAGCCTAGAGCCTCACTGTCTGCCTTGCTGATTCGCTGTGCCTGTGCCAGCTGCTCCTGGGTCTGGAAAGGTTTGCGGCAAGTTTGAATACCATTGTTCAGTTATGCGTCCTTATGACTAGGCTCCTATTATTTTCTATTACCTGGTGGGACCCATAGTCTTGCCGGGTTTTCTGCCCCAAGGTGTGCAGAGCTTGGCCTGGGATTCACAGCAGACAAGCCTCGCCTCAAGCTCAACTTTTGCAATGTCAGCTTTTGCATAGAATGGTGTGGATAAAGAAGCCTGGAAAACCGGTAAGTGCAATTATTCCCTAGTCTTGCATGCCATATTCTTGGTCTCATGTACTCCAAAACCATAAGGCCCAAAACGGACACGCATTGTTGCATGGTAGAGGAATCATCCAAGGCAGGCTATGCAACCTTGGGTGATTTCATGTTGTGGTTCGTCGCTTGGCAATCACGGTCATGTGTGCAAGCCTTCGACCACCCTCCGGCGACATGATTTGTGCTGTGCTCAAGACATCGTAGAAAGAGATGGTCTTTATCTAAGAGGAGTTGAATGTCAGAGTACAACGAAGCCGGTGCAGTGTGCCCAGCCTAGCCACACAGTCTAGAGTCTAGATTCTAGGATTCAGGCAAGTTGTTATCTTGGTTGCTCTTGCTGAATTCCCACCATCATTGGTTCCACAGGGGCGCCTGAGCCCTTGCTTTTTGCGGTCATCAGCGCCATGGGTCCCGAAGAGGAGCTCTCCATACGTCGAGCCGTCCAAGAGGCCTCTGCATCCTGGGCATCTGAGCTGCAGGAAGTCCTGAAGCAGGCCGCTCGATGGCACTGTAGAAAAATTGTTCATGTCCCCTTATAAACCGTTATTGCGCCGCACAACAGTACCTCCGAATGCTTTTGGGGGCCCTGGCATTGCTGCTCAGGCCGTTGGCGATGCCTTGCGCGAAGCTTTGCCGACGGAGCTGCGCAAGGCCCTGTCGCCAGAGCTGGCCACGCTGAGGGAGGGGTTGCGGACCCAGATCTCTTCTTCGGGTTCGCCTCCCTCGCCTTCAGGCACACAGAAAATGGGGTCCGGGTCCAAACTCAAGGCGGTCAGCATGGAAAATGTCCAGAGCATCACAAGCTTGCGTCGCCGCAGCTCCATGCTTCATTCCGCCAAGCTCGTCCTCGCCATGCAGCCGAAGGGACAAGGGATGCCGAAGGTACGGACAGGATCCTTGTCGAATGTCGACAGCCTAGACGTGGAGCAGACTCGGTCCATACCGGTGCGACATTCAAAGACAGAATCGATCACGAGGGCCAAGTTGGAGAGTATTCTTGGGGGACGTTTGAAGTCGACTGAAGACACGACAGCAGAGCCATTGCCGGCCCCCCACTCCCACTCTCCAAGTCCTGTGCCCATGGAGCCCACTCTCCAAGAAGCACCTATTCTGGAGCAAGTCAGCGAAGAATACGTGCGGATCGAGCATCGAAGCGGAAGCGGACTTGATATGAGCGAAAGGTCCCGGGAGGACGACCCAGTAGTAGAGTAGGGGACCTTTAACCTTTTTTGGGTAGTAAAGTCCATATCTAATCCCTATATAGCCAAGAAAGGTTAACCTTTAGTTCCCCATGATACCCGACAAGAAGGACGAAGAGGAGGAGGAGGAGGAGAGCGTAGACAGCTTGGCGATGGCACCAGGCCAACCTGGGACACTGCGGAAGCAGAGTATGTCGATCCTTCCAGATTTTCAGGACACGCCTCGGTTGCAGGAGCATGGCACGCCACGGAAAAACTGGAGGCAGACTCTCCGAAACTCGGCCCTTCAGAAGTAATTACCCGTTGCATGTTTATGTTGAGGAGTATTGCAGGCAGCATCATGTGGGCAAAGCGGTCATGACCCTTACTATTAGGGGCGCTTGGGAAAGCCTAAACTCCAACCCTCGACCCCTAAACACCCTAAACCCAAGAAGCCCTATACCCCAGACCTATACAACCCCAAGCTCTACCTAGACCCCCAACTACCCGCTACTATACCCCAAATACCCACTATTAAGGACCACAAAGGCTCTATTAAAGGGCCCGTCGGGGGCCCGGTAGATGGGGAACCTATAGTACCCTTACAGAAGCCCTTATAGATCCCTTAAAGGAACCCCTACAGTACCCTGTACGAACCCCTAGAGCCACCGAGGAAATCTCATCCTCCCCTTCAAGGCGCGTGCCCCGGATCCGCCTCCTCGCGAGGCTAGCAAAGTGAGGGGGCTTCTCCTGAAGAAGCAGGACGATGGGTGGCACTTTGGAAAGCTGTGTGCGGGTTTTTAGGGTTTAGGGTATACGGTACGATAGGTGGCACTTTAGAAAGCTGTTTCGGGTTGAGGTTTTCAGGGTTTAGGGTACGGTAGGTGGAACTTTGGGACAGCTGTTGGTAGATTTTTTGCGTTTGGTCCTTTATTCGGTGCATCTTTCATACAATCTCTAAAAGGGCCCTGAGAGCAATAGCGGGGCCGGAACAACTAATTATGGTATTCCCTTATTGTCTCTAGTTTAGTATACTTATTCTATCAGCGGGGATCCCCAAGAAGGTGAACGACCAAACCAGAAGCATGCCAGTCTGATCAAATCACGACCACTGTCAAATTTGAACGGGCTCGAGTTGCATGCATCGGACAACACAGGTCGCAAGTAGGTCACGCGAGCCGCAGGACCGTGGTGGTCCCGAAGCGCGTGAATGTGCTTTTTCCCAGAAAAAAACATAACAACACAAGTTATCGAAGAAAACAGGGTGTCGGGAGATCCTTTGGCACTATCGGTTTGTGTTGAGAAGCCGTTGTTTAATTTTAATGTTTTCAATGCATCTTCGCAGAAGACATGAACGCTTGTGACAGCACAAACATGCCGGCGCAATATGTTGTGGGAAGCAGCAAATTCCGTAAACACTGGTGTTTTTATATGTTTGCGATAGTCCCGAATGCTCGTGGCAGCACGTCCTGTTCCAGACACATCCAACATTCTTATGAAGTATGTTGTGCAAATAGGCAAGGATGCTGTAAGCCGGTGGTTTAGGTAGGTTCACAAGAAAGATTGTGAGCACGTATCTTGTCCGAGAAACGTCAAACATCCTTGTTGCATTATGTAGTGCAGAGGACTCATGTTTTACGGCATGGGCGCAATGGGAACGGACGTTATCACCCCCCCTCCCGCTCCACTCCCAAAACAACCTGCCGCGAATCCCGAAACCCGAAACGAGCAGTTTAGCACCAGGGTCCTGGGGTGCGCGTAACCAACTAGTTACCATTTGTGTTTTCAGCATTTGCGTCATATCATGTTACCACCGTGGGCGAGCACTGCGACCAGCGACGACAACGACCGGGACCAAGAGACCACTACGAGACGAGCAAGACACCAGCCAGTGACCACACGCCACCAGGAGACCACGAAGAAAGAGAGCACCAGACTGCCAGGAGACAACCAGGATACCACCAAGAGACCACCGGGAGACCAGCAAGGAAAACAGGGTTCCCTTAAGGGTTCCTTTTAAAGGGGTCTATAAGAATTACTATAAGGGTAGTTGTCAAAATTAAGGTCCCTTTTTGGGTCCCCTAAAAAATACAGCCGGACTCAAAATACAGAACGGGTATTATATTAGGGACCCAAACAAGGACCCTAACTTGGACAACCACCCTATAGTATAAGGGGCATATAGAATTCAAAAAATGGGGAGGAGACCCACCGGGAGAACGGGAAGATGGCTACCAAAACGCTTTTTAGGCTTTGGGGTTTCGGTCCAAAGGACGTGGGTTTAGGGTTTAGGGTGTGCATCAGAACCTCGCCGCGAAAGCTTTTCCTCTACTGGCGGGATTCAGAATCATTGAAGGCACAGCGGAATCGCTGTCCCCCAAGTACCAGCGGCTCCAGCACCAGCGCGAAAGTCTTTCCTTCCCCAAATATTGACGCACATTGGAACCGCGAGTTCCCTAGCTTGTGGGATCCAGAACAAGGTCAAGAATAGGTCCATGTAAGATTATTCAATCCATTCACAATCGATCGGGCTCGCCGCGGCAAATACACCGTAGTGTGTCCGTAGAATACGCCCCAAAACCCTTTCTCAATCAAAGAAAATAGCACATGCAGGGCCTTTTATATTGACAGCATTCCTGTTTTTGATTGGCCAGCAATAGACGTGAACCGTAGTGGCTGTAATTGACTCACCCCCATGTGCGTGGATGTGCTACACTCTCCAGAAACCCCTTGTACAGAACGCCTGGCTAAAGGAGGCTCAAAGAGTACCTAAACCCTAAACCCTAAGCCCTAAACCCTAAACTCTAAACCCCTAAACCCTAAACCCCTAAACACTAAACCGCTCAGGATGTGGAGATGAAGGGAAGGCCCGGACGACGTGTTGAAGTCGTCCTCAAGGAGGCGGATGTCGTACAAGTCCGGCATCTGGGCACATAAAGAACTTGAAGCTAAAAACAGTATCCAGCGCAAAGTAGACCGCAACAACGGGTGGTTTGGTTAAGGTGCAGAAGGGCTGAAGGAGTACAGGGACCGTCTTTTGTGACATGCCCTGACTTGCCTGAAAGTGCCGATGCACAGCAGCGTTTCCAGCCCCTTGGGTGAGTGTCTGGGGTATGCCTGCAGAGGGAGGTAGTCATATAGCGGCCTAAAAATTGGGGGCGGGGGGGGGGGGGGGGGGGGGGGGGCATCCTTATTAGATTTATGGTACAAATGGTTTAATGGGCCCTAATTATTAAGGCCCCTATAGGTTTTGGGGCTTAGGGCGTTGAGGAGCTTGAGGGTCCAGGATATGTCGGGTAGGGTTCGGTAAGGTTTAGGGTGTTATGAGTTTAAGTCATAAAGGTTCTTAGCAGAGTTTGTAAGGGTTCTTAAGTTGAGTCATCATAACCGGGCGAAAGCAAAATATCAGCTCTTAACAGTTTAACAAGATCTCAAGGCACAAACGGTTCCCATTCTCTCAGTGGTCCTGGCCCTTCGCGGATCCGGGGGGTCGGCCGAGACAGTACTGGGAAATCTTCGCCTGCACGTTGCTCTTGTTGCAGCTTCTGTATCTCGGCTCTTCTGCAGGATGTATGGAATTTCGGAGTGTTTCGGATTAGGGGTTGCGAGTTTGCGGGCATACGTTATAAGATTTCGGGTCCAGGGTTAGGGGTTGAAAAGGTTTGGGCTTGTGGGTCTTGAGCTCTTTTTTAGAGTTAACTGACATGTTCCATCTTGTTGCATGTAACGACGACTGACACGTTCCTTTCCGCGGTAGGAAAACGGCCCCCCCAGGTACCTGTGCTTCCAGGCAGGCTTCATTACCACTGAAGACTACCGAGCCGAAGGGTACTGGGAGCTGAAGTTGGCCTTGCTTGCTGTGGACATCTTTTGGGTCATCGATCTGGGGATCAACTTTACCACCGGCTACCGAGATGTCACGCATGTGCTCCACAGCAGTGCCCGCTCCAACGTAAGGCGCTACCTCCGGCACCCCGGCGAGATGTGAATTCAGGGTTATACTGGGGTCCTGGCGAGTGCACACAGGTGCCGAGACACTAGAAGTAGAAACCTCGACCCTAAGCCCGTTTAAAACCTGATCAAATCCTGTTGAACAGAACCCTGACAAACTCTTACAACCTTATTTCACGTGGACTCCAGAGCCCGAAGCCGGAATGCAGATGCAATACTTCTCAATTCTATTCCTGAATCGTCCTGCGGTACACCGAAAGCCCCAGTCTGATTGTTGAGGCGCCCTACGTAAACCCTAAACCTTAAACAGTAGGCGAAACCACTCTAAACCCTAAAGCCTTCAACTCGAAAGAAAGCCAGAGACCTTAAACCTCAAACCCCCAAACTCGATAATCCCCAAAAGCCCTAAAACTCTTGAGTTTAAACCATCCTAAATCATAAATCCTGATTAGGGCTGGCTTCGTCTTGGACCTGCTAGCCACCCTGCCCTCGCTTTGCCAGCATGTGCTCCCGGGCTTGAGGTTTAGGGTTTTGGATCGTTTATAGTTTAGGGTGTGGGGTTTCTAAAGTAACACGCAACTGAGGGTACCACAATGGGGGTTCTGAAGAGTTTGAGGGTCTTACCACAAATACCGTTCTCTCATAGTGATTCGAAGATCTCAGCTGCCAGTGTTATGTAAGGGTATAGGGTCGAAAAGCCAAACCCCTAAAACTGTGAGGAATAGAAATCTAAGTTCTACCAGGCCACTGGTTTGCAGGAACTGAACCGCACGAATTTCCAGAAGAAGGCTTTTTGGCTAGTTCTGAGGACCGTAACTCTAGGACCCTACATCTCTCCATGATCAGAGTTGCGAATCGAGGGCCTATAATAACTACCAATACAATTTTGGTGGTTCCTTATTATACTTAGAGTACAATGGGCCCCAAAACCCTATTCTAGCTAGTAAGGCCCTAATATTAGAATGCTTCGAGCTGATCTTCAAGTCTTATGAAGGTTCTCCGCAGGTCTCAAACGAAGAGGCTCCCGGGCTTTTGGCTCGAAAAAGCGACAAGTCTTGTTGAATCAGTTAGAAAAGGGTTTGGGGGCCCATCATACTCTAAGTATCACGAGGAACTCCAAAAAGTAGTATTGTTTCATCACCCCTTGTCAAGTTCTTTTCTCATTCGTCTCAATTTGTCTTCTGTGCCTCTCTTTGTCGTCTCCATTTAGTCAATTTGTGCGCTCCATTGTCTCTATGTGTCTCCGCTTGCCTGTATGCCAGTCAGTTCGTTGTCTTGACCACCCGCAGTCTATCATTCGCTTGCTAATGGTTCACAGCCCCAACCGGTGTACCCCAATCCCAATCCCATCACAGCTCGAGACTCCTTAGTCTCAAATGCAAAGGCCGAAGAGTCTAAAGCCCCTGGAACCACGGCGGGCCTTTTCAAACCTCAGGGCTTTAACAACTTCATTGCTGCTTAGGTTAAAAGACATGCATCTGCGCAGACTTGTTTGTCAAACCGGGCCCGGTACAATCTTATTGAACCTGTTTACATGTCATTAGGCCTGATTAGATCTTGGTTGCAGTTTAAGCATGCTGTGCGCCGCCGCCGAGCAATCTTTCTTGCAACCTGGAAGACATGACTACAAGTGTGGCATGACCCGCAACATCTTACTATTAAGTCGAGCCTTATTGCAGCTCAGAAGACATGATTATAGAACTGCGGCAGGACAGCGGAACAATTTCATTAAATCTCATCGGATGACCGGAAAAGTCTCACTTATTCAACCTTTAGGGGCAAGCGGTGGCCGACTCCCCGTTCCCCCCCTGAAGAAGTTTAAAGCATGTTCAAGTCGTTTTTGGGACTCAGCACGCGTTTCAAAATCCTTCGCCGTCTTTTCGGCTTACAAAAGTCTTTTGAAGTTCCTTAAAGACTGCGAAAGCTTGTAAAGCATCGTTCAAGAGATTTTTAAGGGCGACTTTATAGTTCGAAAGTCTGTGTGTTGCGGGTTTGCGTCTTGACTTTGGCATCTTCAAGCCGCGCACTTGCCTTTGTCTGTAAGGTGTTGTTCTATCAGGTGTTGTCCCAACTTAGCATTGTTTGTCAAAGTTTGTGTTTATGTGCTTGTACTTGATAAGTTTTCAAACTTTGGTGTCTAAAGGCAAGTGGTTTGAAAGCTTTTGCACACCCCCTAGTGAATGGAGGGAACTCCACTTCAAGTCTAGCACAACAAGCGTTTTGGCATTTCCTGAAAGAGTATAGCTTGAAGTCTTGCCGCTGTAACGCCTTTTCAAGGATTGTTAAATTGCTTGATTGAGCTCTTCACGTTGGGTCTTAGCTTGTCTGTATGCTGCAGGGTTTCAAGGGTTGACATGAAGTCTTGCAAGAAAAAGGATGCTTGTAGGGTTGTTACAGAGCTCATTTTCACTCGGGACCAGATCTCAGGCTCCTGGTCATCGACCCGCATACTTACGGCTTCTGGCCGCTCAGGTGCCTTGGGCAGAAGTGAGCCAGTAAAGCGGCGAAGATACTTTGCAGTGCACATCCTTGCACATACATGCATGCGTACGTGCACACACACAGAGTGATATACACACATTTGTGTATGCCAAAAGTCGCTACAGGTAGGGCTTGCTCGCGTGCATGCATCCATACATAGACATGCTTGCATACATACATACATACATACATACAAATATGCATGCATGCATACATACATATACATCCACATATATGTATACATATTAAATATGTGCATAACAGCACGCATTCACCCTCCGTTCCAGTCGGATGTGGAACCACCGGCGAACAGTTCTGAGTTCAAGCATGGCGTGTATTATACTAGAGTCAAAAGAAGGAACCCCCGAAAGAGTATAGGTAATTATACCATAACAAAGACTTCGGCTCGAACCAAACGCCCGATGGGAACATCTGGGAAGCGATCTCCAAAACATCCAGCACTTGAGGGTGTAAGCTTTCCCAGAAATTTCTGGACTTGTTGCCACTGGGCTGGCCAGTCTATTTTGGAGGTTTTCCACTGTGGGATTCGGAGCTACTCGAAAACTCTTTTCTCATGATTAAGGCCTCTGCATTGTTGGACGTGTTTTCCGTGCTTTCGCCACATTCCTCTTGGTCCATGTGTAGTAGAATAATGTTCCACTTAAAGGGGTCGATAAGGGATCTATAGTAGGGTTAGGTTCTATAGCATAGGGGCCTGCATCATGAGCTTCCAGTCTCCATGACTCCTTCCAGGATCTGAAGCTTCGACGAAGAAGATTGTACCCTAAACCCTAAACATGGATAGTTATCCTAATTGGTGCCGTATTAGAATAGGGACCTCCCAAGAAGGGACCCTAATTTTGACAACCACCCACATGTCAAGCTCCAAGGATCCCACCAGCTCAACAATCTAAGCGCACTGAAAAGCCCTGAACCCCTAAACCCCTAAACCCTAAACCCTAAACCCCTAAACCCTAAACCCCTAAACCCTAAACCCTAAACCTTAAACCCTAAAACCCCCCAAAAAAGCCCTGAACCGTAACACCTTGACCCTGAAACCTGGCGCCCTAGGCCATGAGCCTCGAACCCTTTTTTAGGGAGTTTCCGAAAAGTAGGGGTGGCCCCTCTTTAGGCTCCTTATAATAAGGGTCCTGCTTCTTAAGGTGCTATATTAGGGTCCCCTATTTTCAGAAACTCCCGTATGAGCCTGGGATTAGAAAGCCGAACCCCTGAGCCTTGAAGACACCCCCCAGGATGATGGGCTTATCTCCTCTGCTGCGCAGCTTCCGTGTCCGGGGGGCCTATGCCTTACTCAAGCGGCTGGAAGCCAACATGAGCCTTGCCTGGACTACGAAAGAAAAATAGGTGCTGGGCCATTGGAATCAGCCATTCTTGAACCTACTTCTGGGGGCTTAGGTTGAGCCAAAGTTTAGAAGCGAAATCAGGGTTATATTCTTCCGTCTATACCCTAAGTCTTGCACCCCTCACGCCCCAAACCCGAAACCGTAAACTTCGAGTAAGTCCTGCAGTCTACGGCCTGAAATCCTGGACCTTAACTCGCATTGTCATCAGCAATGGAAACGAGGCTCAGACTTGGGCAAGATCAGGGTTAGGAGTAAGGTTCAGGTGCTCCAATAGGTCTCTCGCTGGGTCCACATGGATGCTAATACACGGTTTACGGGTGTTGTTTTGGAGTCTCCCGCATACGGCTGAATGGTAAAGCCCAACACGAAAGATGAGGAGCCTTACAGCCTTACGGCGGCTTCTAAACCGCGCTGGTAGCACTTACTGGGTTGCCTAAGCTAGAGAGCAACAGGCGCAGCAGCAAGAGTAAACCCTCAACTTACACTCTAAACACCTAAACACTTACAATCCCTCCGGGCCCGCATTCAGGGTTAACCTCTAGGGGTTTCTGGGCTTGCCCCGAAACGGGAAACCTAAACACCCTTGCGTTTGTTTTTAGGCGTCTCCAAAAGTTGGCTCGACATTAGGTCTCGGGGCCCCGGCATCATGGCTGCACAGGTAGTTTAGGGTTCTAGGGTTCGCGTTAGAGCTGAGGGTTTCGGGTTTAGGGAACGTCTTTTCACTTTGCGAGGCATTGCTACGTTTATGGGTCTGTCAAGGTTTTGGGGTCTTTGGAAAGGTCTGTTGAAGGTCTTAGAGGTTTTTATGTTGAGTTATTTAAGTTAAACGGCACCGCATGTTGTGGACCTCCGGATAAGGCTCTCTTTTTTATCGGCGTACCACAACTACTGCAAGTGCCTTCTATAAAGGGCCTCTGAATACGGTACCCAAATCTCAAGTGACCCCGATTCCACTTCTTGCGGCTTTGATCAGATACCCTTAACATAGCTACTATATACGCATTACATAGCCCATTATAGGGTAGCTGGGTCCCTATTAAGGGTCCCTCCTTTTAGTTTACCGAGCCTTGGGTCGAACAAAGCGAAGTCTCCCCATGGTGCTGCCTTGTAGAAGCCTTCGACGTGCAAAAATGAGGACAAGACTCGTGTTCCTAGGGCCAACCCTTAAAGGACCTCATATAAGTTATATACATTCATTTTTAATTTCTCCTTTAAGGAACACAACGACAATACCCCAGACATGCTTTTCTCTTCAGGAAGTCCTCGGTGGTGTCTTCTGCATGGTGGCTCTTCCAGCTATTCATGCTTCCGCTCGTCTTCTCGCACCTCTCTGCTTGTGCCTTGCAACCGCTTCGGGGTTTGCAGGATTTGCCAGGGCTTCAGAGACTTTCCGTAAGTTCCTGGCATCGGTTGCATAGGGGCCTGAACAATTAGACTTGGTTGTTGGCAGTTACGCCACTACACCGATAGGCCGACTACTTTAGCCAATCCGGATTTATGTAGGAGCAGATGTACGCGCGGCTGGGATAAGAAGGGAAAAGGCCTTCCAGCAGAGCGGTCATGAGGTGGAAAGCATGATATTGAGGTCTGAAAAAAGTAATAAGATCTCCTTTTCTTCGTCCTGGTTGACTACTTTTCACCACAGTGAACCTGAAACCTCTCTCATAATTCTGGACCCTAAACCCTAGGGAACCCTGCTGTAGACCAGGCCCGTGCTTGTCTCCCACTGCCTTCCAGCGCTCCTCTGAACCCCTAAGCTGTCGGCATTCTGTGAAGCAGCAGGAGAGATAGAAGAGAAAGCTGCTGAAGTGTCTAGAATTTTGGGGTCCAGGGGCAGCTGCATCTCATGTCACGGAACCACTGCAGAAGACACCCATGACCCATGCCAACCCTGACCCCCTGGCTGGCCTACAGCCCAAAGCTCCATTAACCCCCACACACCCGAACTCCTTTCTGATGATCTCAAAGATCCCTTGTCTAAATTGCAGTGGGGGCAGCTGTACAGACACCTCTACACAGCCGCAGGTCAACACCAAAAGCCCTAATCATTGAAACCCGAGAATCCGCGACCGGAAGCCCAAGCACCCGCATTTTCGGGGTTTGGAGATTTTAAAAGGAACCCCTAAAGTAGCCCTTACAGCGTCAAGGCTCATGGGACTTAGTAAACAAGGGGATAAGCAGGTTAGGGATAGCCCCACTTAGGGAACTTCTAACCCCAATTATAACCTACTTACTATTCCTTGAAGTAGTGGAGGTGCCTTATGGTCCCTGGGCCACAGCAATTTGGAAGCCGATGCGGAGACTTCTTCCTGGATCAAACTGGGCCTGGACATCTCCAATGCGCCTCGGTGCAGTCCTTTCAGGGGCTCCTTTAAGGGCTCCTTTAAGGGTTCCTTTAAGGGCTCCTTTAAGGGTTCCGTTAAGGCATTGAGGGCTCCTTTATAGGACTTTTTATATGAAAGGGTTCTTTTAAAGGGCTCCTTTTGGCGCAGAGGGCATCCTGTGTACACCCTAAGCAATGACATAAGCCCTAAGCCCAACTCCGTCGACGGGCATTCGCCTTCACAGCCTACAAAAACCTTGGCCAAGCCTTGACAAAGCAGTCAACCTTAAACCTTCAGAATATAGTAACCTGATTAAGAAACCCTGGCCCTATAACCCCCAATATAATAGGATTCATATAAGGATACATATAAATTAAGGAACCACAGGGAACAGTGTAAGCAAGTATTCAGGCTTCGATATTCAACCCGAAACCCTTGAAGCTGGCACTGCTCGGCCCTCCTGGTCCCAAGCTCCCGCTGCGAATCTGAGAAAACCAACCTTCGTGGTGGTGGTGGCTTCACCAAACCGAAACCCCCTAAACCAACAACCCCTAAACCCTAACCCCCCGAAACCCTAAACCAACCCTTCATAGCTTCACGCACCCTGGGCCGAGGTAGAGAGAGGCCCTGCAAAGAGAATCAGAAGCCTAAACCCCAAATGGAGCCCAGAAATTCAAAGCTTACCAGACTCAGGAACCCTAGACAGGTTTATAATACAAACATATATATATATATGTATATTAGGAATCGGTTTGGGATATTTCATCCTTTCCCTTCTTGCTTAACATAGAGCAATGTTTCTGAGCTACGAAAGAAAGCCCAGGTTTCTTTCCCAAGCTCATCGGATGGCCGCGTTCGAATGGCCGAAAGCATTGGAGGAGCGCCACCTGGAGGCCCGAAAAAGCGCGTAGGAGTTTGAGGGTTAGGCAGTGTTAATATACAGGCCGGAATACTTGATAAAATGATTTGTCAGGGTTCCCTGCTATGACTCTAGTATAATCTGCCCCCCCCCAAACTTGTGATATTTGTCAAAACGTTATGTTAGGATTCCACGAAGAGTATGATTCTAAGGGCTTCTAGGGTTCAGGGTGGAGGGGCTTTGGCCTTCAGAGGTTTAAGGGGTAAAAGGTTCGTTTATATGGGAGTTTCCGAAAAATTGGGGTACCTTATTTTGGTGTCCTTCTAATAAGGATCCTACTATTTAGGGTACTATACGCGGATCCCCTGTTCTCGGAAACTTCCATAGAGGGTTCAGGGTCTAGCCGTTTCGGGGGGTCTGAGGGTTTAGGCACTTCAGCGTTGATGATTATCAGAGAAGTTTCCAGGTTTGTGCATGGGTTTTCGATAGGCAATAGGGTTTAGGGTTTTTTCTCGTCGTGGCATGAGTCCGTCGGACGCACTCGTGAATTCAAAAGCATGAGGGTTCAGGGTTTAGGGTTTAGGGCAAGCCTACGATTCACTACTATGGCAACTTACGCTGAGCTACAACCCTAAACCTTATGAACCCTGAGGCTGTAGCGTCATGGCCCTCAGGGCTTTAGGTCTTCCAAGGGCTAGGGCTAGCTACCCATAGGGCCCATAGTAGATCCTTTGTGGGATTACCTTATAGGATTCTATATATGACCCACAAAAAGGAACTGCTGTGGGGCCTATGGGCAGGGTTTTTTCAGTTTAGAGTTTTAGGGTTCCTGGGTTTCAAGTTTTCGAGCCGCTTTGGGCTTCAGGTGTTCAGATTTGGGGGGGTTAATAAAGCTTCCCACGTGTAGGAAATTGGTGAAGAGGTCTAGGAGTCTGGAATCTAGTTGAGGGTTTAGTGGATTTGTTTGGTCTTCCTGGACCTTACGAAGAACTTCACATGAAGGGTCCTGATTTTGAGGACCAGCCAAAACAAGGGCCTGCAACTTTAAGTTTAAGAGCCCGACCAATTAGAGTTCGACCGTAGGGGCTTAGATATTTGCCAATACCATCGTGGGGTTCCGTACGATAATTATAGTATAATGGTCCCCGAAACCCTACTCTAATTATTAAGGCCCCTTTTTTGGTTTGGTATTCCTTGGGTGTTCGGCTCATAGTATTAATTATTGAGGCCCCTATTTTGGGGGTCTTCCTTGGGTGTTCGGCTCAGGCCCAACAACTACGCCTGGTGATCGAAGACTCCGACACCTACTCCTACGAGGCTCGGTCTCAGGTGAACTCTCCTACTAGCCTCGGTCTCAGAAGGGCTTGTGGGCGTGTTTAGGGTTGAGGGTTCAGGATTATTTAGGGTGTAGGGTTTAGGATTATTTAGGGTTAGGGTTTACTTAGACAGTGAACAGGGGAACTTTAAGCTTTTCGGCCTTGTATATTAGCTCTATTTTAGAAGGTTTGAACTTTTGGGGGCCTGGTTGTTGAAGAAGAAGAGATTTGGGGGTTTGTGATTATTTAGGGTTTAGGGTTATGGCAGTAAGCATTTTCGCTTGAACTGCTTGGTCCACCAACTTCCATGGGCTCTTTGGGAACACTGCCGTGATCATGAACCGTTCTGGCAAGTAAGGTTCTGCTTCCTAGGTCGCTTCGTTCGCGCTTAGCCCTCCTATCTGCGCCCGCTTGCTTACTTCGGTGTTGCTCTCCGACTTGACGTGGCAAAGCAGTTATTGTTAACGTCGAGTAGACTGCCAATCTTGCTATGACGGCGTCTTTCTGAGGTTCGCGAGAGCATTTGTCGTATAAGACCTGCTCTACAGCGTCAATCCCGTTCTGTGGACCTCTATGTCATGCCCTACCTCATTCATCGTCAAAAGAAAAATCCAACATGTGTACAATTATGTATTATCAATAAATAAATAAAGAAATAAATAAATAGATAAAAAAATAAATAGATAAATCAATATATATATATATATATAAATAGATATATATATATATATATATATATATATGTATATATATATATATATGTACACACACACATGTATTTCTGGAAGCCTGTAAAGTACCCTGAAACCTCGAACCACCCTGGAAGCCCTTCTAAAACCCCGGTCCGGTCCAACCGCGTAAAACCTTGAACCCTGAGGCGCTGCTGCAGCAGGGCTTCCTGCCGAAGTTCCTTTGGGCGGAGCTTCGCTGCCGGAATTGCGCGACGGTTCGCCTCGCGACTCAGAATCCCATGTTTGTCAGGCGTGGGGGTTTCGGGCTCTGGGTTCATGGTTGAAGGTTCAGGTTGTGGTGGTCCTAGAAGCACGACTTCAGAAGCTAGTGTGTGTCAGGCGCAGCGGATCATGGATGATACGACCCAATCCGAGCTACTTCGACTACGTGAAAGCAGCGAGAGCGCCCAAAGATCTCCAATTTCAGCCTCAGGGCTTTCGCCTCATAGCTTGGTGGGTTCATCCGGAGTTGCAGCGGGACAGCCCATGGTTTCAGCCGGACGACATCCCTGCTTGCGAGCTAGAAGCAGATCACACCTTCGACTACCAAGCTGCCGGATCCTTAGGGCTTTCCATTGTAATACACTAATCATGTTATTTGAGGATACTATAGTATGGTATGGTTCTTTATCGTATACAGTACTATACTCCACGACAGTATTCTGAACTTCTGTCTGTAGTTTGGCATCGCGTTTCTTCCGATAGCCATGCATGGGTACATCTGGGTTTTGTTCAGATGATGTTGAGAGGTGAGAAAGAAAGATAGCGAAGATCAGAAGTGACAGAAGTTTTGCTAGTGGTGGTCGCAGCAGCAGCAGCAGCGGCATCAACAGTAGGAGGAGGAGGATGGCGGGGAGGAGTAGTAGAAATGAACGTAGTGGTAGTGGTGCGGGTAGTAGCAGCAGCGACGGGTGGAGGATTAGGAGAGTTAGCAGAATCAAAAAGAGTTGCAGGAGGAGCAGGCCGAGATCGGGGCGGCTACGCTGGGGAAAGAGACCACGTACAGTTCATAACATAGTCACAGAAGAAGACACACAGTGCAAGCATTGGAGCTGTGTGTTTGCTTGTCGGAGGGATGCTGCCGTTGTTCCTGTGATGATCTATAGCTCGTACTCTAGCTTGCTGTTGTTGGCAGTGGTGTGTTTTATTTCAAGCTGTTTCTTCTTCCGGGTGATAGTATTGCTGTGAGTGCTCTCGTTTGTGTTGTCTTGTCAACAAGTTATTGTTATTCTCCTGTCGTGATCGTCGCCGCTCGTCTCGCCGCTGTTGGTCTTCCGTTTATCTGAAGACATTACCTTCAACCTCATTCTATTCGCCTTCAACAGCTCTTCGGGCTTCTCGTGGTCCCTCAGCGAAGAGCACAGGTCCAGCCGCTCTCCAACTTCCAGACCTCAGCGGCGACTTATCTCCGTGCATTTGCCAGGAGTTTGTTGCTGCTAATCATAGTATGAACTCCAGCTGATAGCGAAAATGCTGTCTTTACTATGGCTTCAAGGGGCTTGCGGCTTGCAGACCTATGTGTCGGGTATCTTCTAGCGAGCATTCCAGAACTACATCCCAAGGCTTGGCCTTTAAACCCAGGCCCAGATTCTGCAAATACAACCCTTGATCAGTCCTGCCCAAGGGCCCCACAGGACCTTTAAGAACGCGACGAAATCCCGTCAGATCCCTGCAAAGCATAAATCACCTGTGAAAATCTCGTAGTAAGGCCCCTCGAAAGCCTTTCTGCAAGAACCCCACAAAAGAGCATATACAAACACCCAGACCTCTATAAAGCCCTATAAAAGCCCCACGCCCGGAAGCTGCCTTTCCAGCACCCAGGTGAAGTATCATGGGTAGGTCTGATCTAAGTGGGGTTACTAGTCCCCTAATACGGGCTATAATCATAGATACCCTACTTATAACCCCACTTAGAATTATCTTCAAGTAGGCCCTAACAACCTATACCCTTGTAGAATCCCTCTAGATCCTTTGAAGGGACCCTTAAAGGAACCCTTGTAACTACCCATGAACCTCCAAGCAGGTGAAGTATCTAATGACCTGGCGCGACCTGGGCCCGGAGCACCTTGCAGAGCTGATCCAGCTCCGTGCGGACATCTTCCACCATTTGACCGAGGTCGGCGGGTTGTTCAGGGCTAACTATAAGGGCGCAAAATTCATTGCCCTTTTGCACCGAACCAGAACCACAGGGTTTAGATCCACAGGGCTTTTTCGACAGAGTTGGCTTTTAAAGACTTTTAAAAACTTTAAAATACAAAAAACAACTTTGAAAGACCTTTAAAAACTTTAGAAGACTTTTTAAAAACTTTAAAAGACTTTTAAGAACTTTACAAAACTTTTAAAAACTTTAAAGGCCGTTTAAAAACTTTAAAAAACTTTTAAAAGCTTTTAAAAGACTTTTAAAAGCTCTAAAAGACTTTTAAAAGCTTCAAAAGGCTTTTAAAAAACGTTAAAAGACTTTTGAAAACTTTAAAACACTTTTAAAAGCTTTAAAAGACTTTTAAAAACTTTAAAAAACTTTTAAAGCTTTTAAAGACAAAAATAACATTCTTTGACTTTTTTAAATTTTTTCCAAGAAGACGCGGATGAAGAAGATCTGGCACAGGGTTTAAAGTTTCAGGGTCTTTTGGGGTTTGGGGTTAGGTCGCAGAGTGCCATAGTATTAGGGTTTGAGGGTAATGAGAGGGTTAGGGTTAGAGTTTCAGGGTTTTAGGGTGTAGGGTTAGAAGGCAGAGTGCCATGGTATATGGTTGAAGGCTAATGGATGAAAGGCAAAGTCCCAAAGTCTTCAACATGAATGGGCTTCAGTTTTGGTAGTTATCTTGGAATGATCGTGGCTTGGCTTCGGGCTTTTGGTCGTGCCCAAGCCCCCGCTCAACAGCTCCAAGTACTCCCACACCCTCGTACTGTACCACTACTGTACAACTACTTTAATACTACTGTACTACCACTTTACTACTACCCTCTTACAAGTATACTTCTGTACTACTATCGCACCGCTACTGTACTACGACGGTACTACTATTGTACTACTGTACTAATTACTACCGTGCTAGTACTTGTACTACTACTGCACGACACACCACTGCACCGCACCAGGCCTCAGACGTGGTCGATTGTGGAGGGGAGTGTAGGTTGGAGGCAAAAGTCTTCAGAGTGAAAGGTTTGCAGTTTTGGTAGTTCTCGTTGAGTGACCGTGGCTTGGCTTCGACTTTTGGTCGTCCCCAAACCTCGCTAGACAGCTCCAAGTACCCCTAAACCCTCTTACTGCACTGTATCTACTACTGTACGACTGTCGTACTACAGTACTACTATTGTACTACTCTACCCTGTTGTACTACTACTGTACCGTACCAGGCCTCAGACGTGGTCGATTGTGGAGGGGAGTGTAGGTTGGAGGCACAAGTCTTCAAAATGAAAGGTTTTCAGTGTTGGTAGTATCTTGGAGTGATCGGGGCTTTTGGTTTCCAGCCTTTGGTGATCCCCCAAACCGTTGAACAGCTCCAAGTACACTTAAAAACCTCGTACCGTGCTACTACTTTACTACTACTGCATTACTACTATACTATTACATGCATTACTACTGGACTATTACATGTACTCACCTGTGCATCATCGAGCTTCTTGTTGCATCTCTGCTACCTGTAATGTGGCGGCCGTTTAATAGCCACCCCCCCTCGACCAAAGGTTTTTGGTTTGAATAGTCTGGTGTCCGTGACCCCCTGGACCGGGGTTCGGCTGGCTGAGGGTCTGAATGGCTTTGGATAAGTTAGAACGGAAATGGGGGGTCGCATGGTCGGTTTGAAACCTGCGCGAACGCCGCAATCGGGGGGCTTGGGGATCACCAAAAACTTGGAACCAAGCCCCGATCACTCCAAGATAACTACCAACACTAAACACCTTTCATGTTGAAGACTTTTGCCTCCAACCTAACCACCCCCACGATCGACCAAGTTTGAGGCCTGGTACGGTACAGTGGCGTGTAGTACAGAGTACAGTAGTACAGTAGCATAGTAGTACATTGGTGCAATGGTAGTACAGTAGTAGCACAGTACAAGCACAGTAGTGTGTTTCATCGACTCAAGCAGGGAGCGCCCCTGTACACTTTGCTTTGTGTGGGTGCTTTGTCTTTGCTCTTTAAAGGTTTTGCTGTTTGCTGTCATATCTGGTATCTATATGTGCTTATAGGGTCATGGCTTTGAGTTTGGCGCGGGGGCGAGGCTGGCCTGGGAGGTGGGCTGATAAGGCGCAAGGGCGAGGGCTGGGAACCGGGCTCGGGACTTCATAATTTTTGAAGACGAATTAAGATTTAATGAGATTTATAGTTAGATGTAGTAAGATTTTATTTGGGTTGTTTTCCTTTCTAACACTGATAAGATTTAACATGATTTCCCTGCAAAGGGAATCTCGATCTATCTATCCAAGAAAAGATGCTTCCACGGGGGGTTCAAGGGGGGGTATCCCCCCCTTTCCCCCGGTGGCAATAAGATTCAATAAGATTCAATAAGATTCAATAAGATTCAATAAGATTTAATAAGATTCAATAAGATTTAATAAGATTGAAGGGGGGAGCTCGAGGGGGGAAAGCCCTCGATCCAGGGGGTGCGGGGGGCGGGAGCCCCCCGCGAAACGGTGGCGAATATTTGCGATTTTCCAAGGAAAAAGTCATAAATTCGCAACAAGCCAAACCACAAAGCTTGGATCAACAGGGCTTAGCAATAAGATTCAATAAGATTCAATAAGATTCAATAAGATTCAATAAGATTCAATAAGATTTAATAAGATTCAATAAGATTTAATAAGATTGAAGGGGGGAGCTCGAGGGGGGAAAGCCCTCGATCCAGGGGGTGCGGGGGGCGGGAGCCCCCCGCGAAACGGTGGCGAATATTTGCGATTTTCCAAGGAAAAAGTCATAAATTCGCAACAAGCCAAAACCACAAAGCTTGGATCAAGCAGCAATAAGATTCAATAAGATTCAATAAGATTCAATAAGTTCAATAAGATTCAATAAGATTTAATAAGATTCAATAAGATTTAATAAGATTGAAGGGGGGAGCTCGAGGGGGGAAAGCCCTCGATCCAGGGGGTGCGGGGGGCGGGAGCCCCCCGCGAAACGGTGGCGAATATTTGCGATTTTCCAAGGAAAAAGTCATAAATTCGCAACAAGCCAAAACCACAAAGCTTGGATCAACAGGGCTTAGCAATAAGATTCAATAAGATTCAATAAGATTCAATAAGATTCAATAAGATTCAATAAGATTCAATAAGATTTAATAAGATTCAATAAGATTTAATAAGATTGAAGGGGGGAGCTCGAGGGGGGAAAGCCCTCGATCCAGGGGGTGCGGGGGGCTCCCGCCCCCCGCGAAACGGTGGCGAATA